TATCACAGTAAAAGTTGGCGACGAGGATAAACTAATGCTCGGATGATGGCACTCATTGGAAGTATAGGTGAATTTGCTCCGAAAGCAGAATCTTGGTCGGCCTACATTGAACGGCTGGAACAGTTCTTTGTGGCGAATGAGATAAGCCAGGAGAAGCAGGTTGCAACACTCTTGAGCGTGATGGGGGCAACAACCTATGGTTTACTGAGGAACTTGGTACAACCAGAAAAGCCAAAGGATAAGTCGTACAAAGAAATTGTCGACACCTTAAAGAGTCATTTTGAACCAAAGCCGTTACTGATTGCCGAAAGATTTCGTTTTAATCATTGCAATCAAAGAGCCGATGAAACAGTTACGGAATATGCAGCGGAGCTGAAACAGTGTGCTGTGAGTTGTGAGTTCGGGGCAACGCTGGATGAAGCATTGCGTGATCGATTCGTGAGTGGAATCCGCAACGAAGCCTGCCAGCGACGGCTGTTGTCAGAATCTAATCTGACGTTTGCACGAGCGTTCGAAATCGCATTAAGCATGGAGACAGCTGAGAAAGACACGCAGCAGTTGCGAGGGCATGACTCGCACTCGAGTGTTGTACATAAGGTGGAAGTGCGACCTTTCAGTCAACGAGAGAAAAAGTGCTATAGATGTCATGGGAAAAATCATAGCGCTCAGGTATGTCATTTTAAGGATGCAAGGTGCCATAACTGCGGAAAAATTGGGCACATTAGGAGAGCATGCAGAGGAAAGATGGAAGTTGGAAAAAGGAAATTGTATGCAGAGAAGAATACTAAATATGTGGAGGCAGAGGAAGCTGAATTACCCATGTTTTCACTACGGGCTGAGGAAAATAGCAAAAAGTCATTCACAGAGACGTTTGATGTAAATGGCAAGGAAATTATGATGGAAATTGATACTGGCGCGGCCGTGAGTATCATATCTGAGAAAGAATTTAAGGCGGTATTCCCAACTGAGCCACTAGAGGTCGCCAGAGTCAAGCTAAAAACTTATACAGGTGAGCTTATGCCTGTATTAGGACAGTTTGAAGCAAAAGTGAGCTATGATGGGCAAACTGAAGTGCTAAGTTTGATTGTGGTGAAAGGAGAGGGGCCTTCGTTGTGTGGCAGGAATTGGCTGCAAAAACTCTCATTGAATTGGAGGAAAATTAAGCATGTCAGTCAAGTGCAACAAGTCACGTCTATTGAAGAGGTGCTGGAGTCATGCTCTGAGGTGTTTAAAGAGGAATTGGGCACACTCAGAGGGCTTAAGGCAAAAATACGAGTTAATCCTGAAATTTCTCCACGTTTTTGTAAAGCTCGTCCACTGCCTTTTTCAATGAAAGCTCAAGTTGATGCAGAATTAGACCGGTTGGAGAAGGCTGGTATAATCACGCCTGTTAAATACAGTGAATGGGCAGCACCCATTGTGCCAGTGGTAAAAAAAGACAAGACTCTAAGATTGTGTGGAGACTACAAATTAACTGTGAATCAAGCAGTCACTACAGAAATTTATCCACTACCGCGGATTGAGGAGTTGATGGCTACACTGAGTGGAGGTACCATATTTTCCAAGATTGACCTGGCTTCCGCGTATCAGCAGGTCCTTCTTGAAGATGAGTCCAAAGAGTTGCTAACCATCAACACGCACCGAGGATTATTTGTCTATAATAGACTTCCTTTCGGTGTCAGTTCAGCGCCCTCTATTTTTCAAAGAATTATGGAGAATCTCATGAGAGATCTTGATGTTATTGTTTACCGTGATGACCTATTGGTCACTGGAAAAACAGAGCAGGAACACCTGCAGAGACTACAGGCGGTGCTGAAAAGACTCCAGGAGAACGGTTTGAGGGTAAAAAAATCTAAATGTGAATTTGGAAAAAGCCAAATTGAGTATTTAGGATTTGTGCTAAACAGCCAGGGCCTTCATCCATCCCCAGACAAAGTGGATGCAGTCAAGAATGCACCAGTACCTACCTGCGTGAAGGAGCTGAAAGCTTTTTTGGGGTTGGTCAATTACTATGGCCGTTTTTTGCCCAACCAGAGTACTATGGCTGCCCCGCTCTACAGACTGTTGAGAGATAACGTGCCATGGGAATGGAAACAGTCTGAGCAAGAAGCTTTTGAAAAATGTAAAGATTTGCTGACAAACGAAAAGGTTTTAATTCACTATGATCCTAGTCTACCACTTACCTTAGCTTGTGATTCTTCTGCCTATGGGATCGGCGCTGTGTTGCAACACACCATGCCCACCGGAGAAGAACGTCCCATTGCTTACGCCTCGCGGACACTGTCACCTGCTGAAAAAAAGTATTCGCAGATTGAAAAGGAGGGGTTGTCGCTGATCTTTGGAATAAAAAAATTTCACCAGTACCTTTGGGGAAGAAAGTTCAAGATGGTAACTGACCATAAACCTTTGTTGACTTTGTTTGGAGAGCACAAAAGTCTACCCACCATGGCAGCAGCCAGAATTCAAAGGTGGGCAATCATTCTGTCCGCTTACGATTACCACATTGAGTACTGTCCCTCAGAGAAAAACAGTAATGCAGATGGCCTTTCACGTGTTCCCTTACCGGAGATGACTGATGGGGGCACAGCTGCCCTATCAGAGCATATTCATGCACTAATAGCGGAGCACTTCGAACAAGCTCCTTTGAAGGCAGAACATGTGTCTCGTGTAACACGCAGAGACAAGGTGTTATCCAAGGTGCTTAAATATGTCATGGAAGGTTGGCCAATGAATGTGGATGAAAATCTAAAGGCCTATCACTTGCGGAGGTTAGAACTGTCGGCAGAGAGAGGATGTGTACTTTGGGGCACCAGAGTTATAATTCCTGAAAAACTGAGAAAAATTGTGCTGAAAGAGTTGCATGTCGGCCATCAAGGGATGGTAAAGATGAAGGCACTTGCCCGCAAGTATGTGTGGTGGCCTAAAATGGATGCAGAACTGGAACAGGTTTGTAGAACCTGTGAGCCATGTCAGATGGAACAAAAGGCACCCCGCCAGGTTCCTTTACACCCCTGGGAATTTCCTGGTCAGAGCTGGAAGAGATTACACATAGACTTTGCTGGTCCTTTCTTAGGACACACATTTATGATTATTGTGGATGCATATTCAAAGTGGCTGGAGGTATTTAGAATGCCTAACCTTACTTCACAATCCACCATTTCAAGGCTGAGAAGGCTGTTTGCAGCATACGGACTTCCGGAACACATAGTCACAGACAATGGAACACAATTCACTTCGGAAGAGTTTAAAAATTTTATGCAGCAAAATGGCATTCTTCATTCCACAAGTGCCCCAGGTCATCCCGCTACCAATGGCCTTGCAGAAAGGTATGTGCAGACATTTAAAGGGGGAATAAAGAAACTTGCACACGTGACAATGGACTTGGAGGATAAGATCTCACTGTTTTTAATGCAGTATCGCACTACTCCGAACTGCACTACAGGGCAATCACCAGCCGATCTTTTCCTTAACAGACATGTGCGCACTCGGCTGGACTTTGTTCACCCAGATGTCACTGTTGCTGTTCGCAGGAAACAGTACCTACAAAAGTTCCATCATGACAAAAGGTCTGTGGAGAGATCATTCTCTGAGAAGGATGCGGTTTACCTTCGTAATACCACAGGAAAAGGGAACAAATGGGTTCCTGGAGTGATAGTAAAGCAAACCGGTCCTGTGTCTTATAACGTTCAGGGACAAGACACAGATGGCACTTTCAGGAGACATTGTGATCAGTTAAGACCACGGGTTGTAGTGGATGATCCTGTTGAACAGATGGACTGCTCTGAGACTGGGACTGAAACTTCCGTTAGACCCTGTGCATCAGAAGAGGAGGAACCGGTCATTTCAGAGACTTCTGAAAAGGACAGTGTAGGAAATACAAGCATGGCACAGGGTCTACGTCGCTCATCTAGAATTAGAAAGACACCAAAACGCTATGACCCATAATGCTTAGGAATTACAACTGTGCAAATGCAACCAAGTTTAAAATTTGCAATGGTCTCGTAATATACTAGGTTTAGTATTTTTTTTTTCTCTCTGCTGTTGTGTTAATGCAAGAAGAATTTAACAGCTACTGTTAGTTTTGATAGTAATGTTGTTGCATGTGCAGTTTTTTTTTTTATGTGAAGGTAACAGTAAATGTACTGTGTTTAAAAAGGGGGGTAATGTGATATATTGATGTTTGCATTTTTGTATTTGAAACAATGGGGACTCCGTAGTACGGAAGTAGTTGATATAGTTCTGGCAGTTTCGGTTGAAAGCAGAAAGTAAAGCTGTTGCTTAATACGGACGCTCCGACTCAAGTGTATCTTTTACAGTCAGTATATCACAAGCAAAGTGTGGTTTTACTTTACATTACAACTAATAGCAGAGACAATTCTTAAACCAACACATCGACCGCACATTGTCATCTTGTTAGTAATCAGTATCTGTAGGGAAGTGATGGTGGAAAATAGTAGCCTGGCGTACATTATATAGTGGTTTTACTAATTTTTATGGATGTGTAAATGTGGATTCTTGCATAAAAGTGAGAAAAATGTTGACATTTTTGGCTACATAGTTGTCATATAAACAGTTTTTAAACTGCTACAATGGATAACAAACCTCTGACCTTTATATATGGTCCTGTTAAATTTTTATTTTGGAATGGGTAACAGTTACAGGAACTAGCCACCAGACAACAAAATTCCTTTCAACTTCCCCTTTAAGGCATGTTTCTGGTTGCACTCACACCACCTGTAGGAACCCGGAGGATAGATTCTAGTTTGAAATTAGTTCACCAAATGGTGTTTAATGGTACTAAAAGCTAAAAATATTCTCAGTTCCTGTAATGCACAAACGTGCCAAAAAAAGTGCACTTCCACCAATAGTTATAGGAACTATGGAAACGTTCATACATTGGGTGCAATATCCTAGTGTTGCCATATTTCATTGCCTCACATGAGCTTTGTGGCCACTAAAAGACTATCGCACATCTCTTTCTTGGCTTTTCATGAGATCTTCTACACGTGGCTTACGTGTTCATCAGGTTTGCAGTCTTCATTGTCTGTCAACAGCAACGTGTCTAACATGATATTTGCAGACGTCTGCAGCTGCGTTGATCGATGCCTGATCGGACTCTGATAACCTACAGGGCTGATGCCATTCTTCATACCGTGTTTCATAAACCGCTTTGAGTTTTCGGTCACTGATGAACGAAAGGAGATTTTGCTTCTCCGTTGCAGTTTCGGAGTCCTCACGCTCTTGTAGTTACAGGTGATGTAGCGCCTGAAGGCCAGTCTGAACGTCCTATTGAACAGAGTATAGACCAGCGGGTTGATGCCTGACGAAACATAGCCCACCCACTGAAAGATATCCAGCAGCTGGTCCACTAGATTACCGTTGCACCTTTCACAGAGCACAGAAGTCACGTTAGTAATGAAGAAAGGACACCACATCACAACGAACAGCATGAATACGATCCCCAGAACCTTCGAGGCCCTTTGTTCATTGGTCAAGTTTTGCATGGACCTCTTTCCTATGGTGGACATCCTGCGCAGAGGGACCTCATCTCCTGTGATGGGATTGACGGGGTTCAGTGTTCGGTCTCTTTTTATTCCATTCGATATGACCATTTTCTCTGGTGAAGCAAGAACTGAGAGTTCCTGCTGGAAGACCGTGGAAATGGAGGGCCTCGCAGCTCTCGATCTTAAAAGATAGGCCTTTTTCCGCAGTACTTGGATTGTCAGCAAGTAAATGATCATCATGATTGCGAGGGGTATGAAGAAAGCCACCAAAGACCCGTACACCTTGAAGTCCCTGAAGCCCTCCGGCGACAACAAGCAGGTGTGGTTTTTGTTGAAGGTGATGTTCGGATGATCAAAGAATTGAAGCCCTTTGATTGGAATCGGTATCGCAATGCCTGTTGGAGAAAGACCAATCGTTAAATTGAGCAGAGAACAGGACTTAAATAAAACATTGACATTCATTGACTAAGTTGGAAGTGTTGAGTCTTTTTCTTGGAGATTCACTGTCCTACAGTGTTTAGCTAAAATCTGGGACACGCAAAGCTGACTCCTAAGAACTTGAACTTGTCAGCCGCATCCGGTCCAAAACCTTTGAACACACCAAACGAACAGCAAAGGACTGTAATTACTGTGCACAAAGATTTTTTTTTGTATGTACAAACATACAAACCTTAAAGAAAGCAGCATTTAGTACTGTTTTTCAAAGTACTTGACATTTACCAAAGAGGGGTTTACTCATGCAAATGTGTCTGATAATCTAATAATCCATGTCATTGGCAAATGTTTGAGAAATGCAGCTAAATTACATACAGCTTCTTGTTCCCTCTTAGTTTCATCACTTCAGTTTTGTTCTCACGCTCTGATTTGTTGCTGGAAAGCTGGCGATGCCTGACTTTGTTCTACAAGCTGAATTTGAACTCACCGAACAAACCATCCTGACAGACGATCGCCAAAGTCCGTATGCTGCCCCATGGCTAGGCCCACACGGAATCTGCGCGCGCAGAATTACACAGATTTTTTGCAGATTTCTGGATATTTTTAGCCCATTATTAATTCTATTTATTTACTTGAGTAAATGTGTAAATCTGAATTTATTCAGTTTTTATTCAGTAATTTATTACTTTTTATTTAATATATTAAGGTTTTAGTTATGATACTCCGCTGGATACTCCCAAAATAATTCTGCAGAAATTCACAGATTTTTACCAAAATTCTCTGCAGAAACAGCAAAAAACGTCCGCAGATTCCGTCTAGCCCTGCCCATGGTTGACCATTGGCTTGCCGTGTCCTGGTCTTAAGTCCTATTCTAACATATATAGCCAGGTGTGTTGAAGCAAGGTGATTTATAGCATTGCAGTACTCAAGACTGAACTTCATTCACCACAACGGAAAGAATATTTACATTCTCTGAATTGCTCAGACCCTCAGTCTTGAGTTACTCTGCTCAACTCTTCTTTTTTTTTGGGGTCACTGTCATGGTTCTGATTTAACCTACTCCTCCCTGGGCTCTACAACTCAACTACAGCATTGGTTGGAGATGAACATTCCGTTGGACACTCCTGGACTTGGTCATTGTCAGTCTTTCCTTTTTATAAACTCCTCCAACACAAATAGTTTTGTTTTGGCAACGGCCTTGGGTTTTTTTTAAAGAATGAAATTCTACTAGTTGATTGGTTGCCAGAACAGCTGGTTGATCGATTATTGCAGCATTCAAAGCTTCCTCAGGACCGTGTTATGGAATTGAACACTGGAATTTATAAACACAAAACTCATCGTGCACCCTAAAGAATGCTGTGTCACACCCTATGTTGGGTCAAATATGGACAAATCCAATGTTGGGCTTAATATCTTTGGTCAATCTTTACAATAAGGTTTCATTTTTGGTTAACATGAACTAATTATTAACAATATTTGTTCAGAATTTATTAAGTTCAACATTTTCTAATGCACTATTGACATCCAAATTCATGCTTGTTATCCTTAATTTGCGCACTCTGAGTCAACATAAGCTAATTATGAGCAACTTTATTTGCATTATGTAAACTAACACAAACATATGCTGCAATTAATGTATTGTTTATTGTTTGTTCATGTTAGTAAAGTTAACTGAATTTAAAAACACTCTTTCCAAAAACCCAATGATTGGGTTTGCCTATATTCGCCCTATGGTTGGATTAATACAACACAGCAATTTTTTAGAGTGTAACCCTAAGCTCCTGTTGCCTGTTTTCTCTCAGTAATACTGCTATGTCAGAAATGGAAATATGCGAAATTGTCAGTTCAACACAGACCATGAGCACCACATCCCTGTGTATTCCTGAAAACGGAGCACGTGGCCTGCCTTTCATGGTGGTGAATCGGCTTCAAGACTCCAGAACCGTGCGTTGAGCTCATCCAAACACCACAGCCAAAGTAATCTTCTCCACTGATGTTAACGAGCTGAAATTTCGAGGTGTTTACCTTCAGTCCACCCCCCCACAAGCCAACGTCAACGTATAACCGAGACCTAATCGTTAAAAGTAAATCGCTGCGCCTGTATAAATGGTCAGTCGATGACATGAGATAAAGGAGATTTATGCGTTTGCGACTTTTCCAGAGACTCCGAGTGCTGAGATCATCAATCGCTGGGGAGTTTCTGGACTGAGCTGATATGCCACAGTTTCTATATAGCTGTTTGTTAGATGCAAGTAATGGAACTGTATATTTAAGATCGTTTTTAAGTCTTCATCCTCTGGGTGAGGGCAAAAATTCAGCCCTGGCACTGTAGCCACACCAGCCTACATTACCATACCGACACAGCCCCACCCACGGACACACACATTCAGTACTTATATTGGTGTACAGATAGTGAAATAATATAGGCAGTACCATGTCATGTGTAATAGATATTTGAACACTTAATGTATGTGACTGGAAAAAAACAAACTGTATATATACAGTAAAAACAGTCTGTGAATCTTGTAGAGTCCGTGTGCTGTTTCTTTATACCTTCTAGTGCCCTCTATAGGAAGTCTGAAATTACTATAGAAATGGACCACTTGTTCAATAAAATGCCAAATTTTAGGGACATTACTAGCAAAACTATTAAGCAAACATCACGGCCTGTCACTCAAAAGCATCTCGTTATTGCTACTTAATTTATAATGTAGCCAAATTAGATTTGAAACCTTTCTTGCTGTATGAGCTGTTTATTTTGACATTCTTTTAACATCTAGGCTCGCTGTTGATTATACAGATTTATATTTTAAATACACTCTTTTAAGTAATGAGCTGTTCATCTTCTGTCATTGTGACCATCTTTTTGTAAATTATGTGAAATTTTAAGTTGCATCCACTCCCACATTAAAAAATACAATAGTAGTTTATAGCAATACTATCGTGTTTTAATGTCTATTATATAAAGATGAAATTCTATAGTTGTTATGGTATTGCAACAATAAACATAATTCAATACTGAAATTTTTTTTTAAAAATACTTAAGGTATTTACTCTAAAAAAGAATAATAATAATAAATAAATAAAAATGATAATAATTACTATAAAAAAAAAAAAAAAACGTGACCACGATCTCTGCCACTGGTGACATTTCCAGCCTGCAAAACAGCGAGATTCAGGAAGTGCTCGACTTCTGATGTATATTTTGAAACCAACCGGCCTTCGCCGATTGAGACAAATGCTTAACATTTATTATTATTATTATTATTATTATTATTATTATTATCATCATAATATTTACATCTTGCAAGAGATAAAAGCTGCCTGCATGTAAAAAAATAAAAATAATATTTTTTATTTATTTATTTATTTATTTTTAAACGACCGGCTCACATTTAATAAATGGTTCGGCCCTTCTGGCATTTGCCAGAATTGCCAGATGGCCAGTCCACCCCTGGGTTAGGGTTTGGCCAGATATCCATTTCACAGTATGAATAACAATCCGTTTAACAAAAGTAAATTGATCAGCTCTGTTTGCCAATACGGTTTAACTATCTTTCTTACATTCTCAAAATTACATTTGTTTGGGTGTTTATGTGTAAATGGATCTTGTGAATAATTTAGTTTATTATAGTTTTTAAAATAGTTTACAGAAATAACTGAATTTTAATTTTAATAGGGCAAGTAACAAATATTCCGCTAGCCGATACAAAAAAATCCTAAGCGTTTTACCCCTTAAAAAGTCATTCATAATGGTCTTAAAGTCCTAAATTTGACTTTAAATTTGAAACCCTTTGCAATATGCCGTCCTTCACCATGCACCAACAGCTAGATCTTTAACATACCTATGGAGATTAGCCAGACAAGTGCGATTTTAGCCAGCACTTTAGCTCTGGACTTGAACTGGCTGTGCTGGATGGGTTTTTTAATGGCTATGTAGCGGTCCAGAGAGATGGCACACAAGTGCATGATGGACGCAGTGGAGAACAAGACATCCAGAAACAGCCAGATCGGGCACAGGAAATCTGCAAGGGGCCATGTGGAGTCTGAAATATCAAAAGAAAATGAAGCATTAATCAGTGGGCTAGCAGAAATGCAAATGGGAGCAGTTCAGAGTCATTCTTGTGGTGGGAAACAAACACTTTTGAGACATCCTTTCAGCGTTATATCATGCACGCTAACTCCAAATGGCTTGCTAACCCTGATGAAAGCCATGCTGTGTTTTCAGAGAACTGTTTTCTTACTAAAATACTCTATATCACAGATCTTCCAAGGCTTTTTTGCTGATGTTTTTAGATTGTGCCTTTGCCACAACTTAGGATTCTTGACGCATTTAGATGTCGAAAAGAAATGCTGGACATGGATGTTAGAAAAATGCATTACTTTTGCATCTCATCTCGCATGTTAGTGGGTCTCAACATTTATTAAATAAATCGGTGCAAGCTTGAGTTTCGCAAAAATAAACAGTTCAAGAGATTAAACACTTGGGGGCTTTTGGACGATTCATCAAGCGCTTCAGTGTCTCTGTTTGTTTTAGTGGCAGACATGATGAAATGGTGGATATTTGACTTGGTCTTCGTCCCAAACGCTGTTGTTGCAAGTCTTTAAATGAGGTTGTTGTTTTCGTATCAGCAGTTTTTCGGATGGTCTTTTTCATGCTCAAGCAGAATATGTGAACCTAATTATTGACCTCATGGTAATTCAATGTTTATCATGGTGAAATTTCAGTCTGTCTATATTTCTATTGCTTTTACAATGTAGATTGAGTTAAAGCATCTTAACATGGTTGAAGAAAAGCTCAAATATTCCAGATCGTTCAATTGAAACCGGTTCAGTAGTATAGTATAAATGTAGTACAGTATAAATGTGAGTGTTGATGTAGTAAATTTGGTAAAAATCTACATCAAATCAAACATTTAATCCGTAGTTTTACTCATGGTATAATGGATATATGTGACCCTTTACCACATGAAGTGTACTTTTTATTTGTCAATTTGTTTAAAATAATTATTTTGATTTAATTTAAGACATGTTAAAGACAGTGTTGGAGATAGACTTGTCCTGGTTTGAGCTGCATTTCTACTAGTGTTGTTGATTATATTTGATAATTGTGAACATTGAAAGTACAGATTTTTACAGGTTTCAATCCATTATGTCGTTCCTTCTGGAAAGTACTCCAGTGATAATAGGGTAGGCCCACCCGGAATCTGCGCACTCAGATTTTTAGCCCATCGTTAATTCTGTTTGTTTACTTGAGTAAATGTGGGTAAATCTATATTTATTCAGTTTCTTTTACTTAATTTCAGTAATATTATTGACTAATGTGAAAATGTTCATCTGATTTCTGTACAATGCAGTTTGTGCAGTAATATTTTTTTTGTCTTTTACTAGATATATTATATGACAAACTTGCTTTATTTACCAAATAAAGTGAATCTAATTGGATTTGCATTTTAAAAATATAAGATTTTTTTTTTTTTCATATATTAGGTTTTAGTTATGATACTCCCAAAATAATTTGGCAGAAATCTGCAGATTTTTATCAAAATTTTCTGCAGAAATAGCAAAAAACGTCTGCAGATTCCCTGTGGCCATAGTAGTAGGTTAAATTTCAGGTTTCAGCATGATAATGATCTGCTGATTGCAGTGAAATCCTCTTTGGAGAAAGAAAATAGCTGATGAAAAACACAGACCGTTAGGAATGGCCTCCACAGGGTCCAGACCTGAATGTTATAGAGGCCCTATGAGATCACCTGGTCAGAAAAAAAAGATATGACAGTCTAAACCCAAAGATAAGCTCTGTTGAGTGCTAAAAGAAGCCTGGTTTCACACAGCACATTATTTGAGGAAATATCAGGATAATTAGAACAAAACAGTGCCAAGGGACGCCACGTTAAACAGACTTTTGCTTAACCTTCTAGGGCTTAGTGGCCACATACATGGACAGCACATTTTAGCTCTGAAGTGGCTATTTAAAATACTTTGAATGTTTTATGTTTTGTTACAGACATACAGTGTCATCCTGCTACTGTTTTGCAGCCTATGAAATGTCCCAAACACTATTTTACAGTCCAAAATGAGGAAAAAATTAGTTTTTACTCTCTGATAGTCAAAACATGTTCAAAACAAAATTCTATGTTAAATATGCATTTAAAAAATTCACGAAAAAGTGTTTTATGTAAATTCAGACCACGAGTCCACATATATGGACATAATTTTTCTCTAAAATACATCATATCAAAAGATGATACTTAGGTTTTTATTTTAATTGGGTTCAAATAAACCCAAACAGCAAAGAGAAATAAAAAATGCATGTAAAAAAAAACTCATTTTTTTGTAAATATTTCCTATATTTTTATACATTTATATTTATAGAGACTGATTGATTTTACATTGTGCCAAAGTTTTAGGCTAGCAAAGCTGGCGTAGTGCTTAGGTCTTTTGCTCAGTACTGTATGTGTACATTTCCAACACCATTTTAGCTTGAGTGGATCTAAACAATAATGCATCCATGAACCTGGATCTGTGGTTTGGAGAGCTTGTTAGCAGATGTTACCGGCATTAGTCAGATCGACCCTCTTCACTAAACAGATCCCCATAGAAGCTCCACAGAGAGGGGTGCATCATTGCCAGCTGGGCTTTTTGAAGTTTTCCAAATCCAGCTGTTTTTTTTTCCTGTTATTTTAGATCCGAATTAATGTAACCAGCATGACGGTCATGTTTTTAACACTCATATCTTATGTAACTGTTGTTGCTCAATAGATTCGATATGTTTAATCTCAAAATTGTTCAAACACATTTTCCATTGTTTGATGGAAAATCTAGTTATTTCAATAGGAATGCTCATGGTCTGGATATGCATCTGTAGACTCAACATGCAAGAAAAAAATGTGCATGTTAATGTTTTAACAAAAACATTCATGTTTTCCAATACTTCCAATATTCTTAAAGCCCCCACAGTGCTTGTTATGTAAATGAACAAACAAAATGTGTTAAAACCTTTCTGTTGTTAGTCTTAGATTTATCAGAACCAATATAAACCTGTTGTTTTCAAAGTGATTAGTTGACTTTATTTATAATAAGTGAGTAAAGCTGTTCCTTTTAAAGCGATTAGTTGACTTTACTTATAATAAGTGAGTAAATCTGTTGATTTTAAAGCGATTAGTTGACTTTACTTATAATAAGTGAGTAAACATGTTGATTTTAAAGCGATTAGTTGACTTTACTTATAATAAGTGAGTAAAGCTGTTGCTTTTAAAGCGATTAGTTGACTTTACTTATAATAAGTGAGTAAACCTGTTGATTTTAAAGCGATTACTTGACTTTACTTATAATAAGTGAGTAAAGCTGTTCCTTTTAAAGCGATTAGTTGACTTTACTTATAATAAGTGAGTAAATCTGTTGATTTTAAAGCGATTAGTTGACTTTACTTATAATAAGTGAGTAAACATGTTGATTTTAAAGCGATTAGTTGACTTTACTTATAATAAGTGAGTAAAGCTGTTGCTTTTAAAGCGATTAGTTGACTTTACTTATATTAAGTGAGTAAATCTGTTGCTGTTAAAGCGATTAGTTGACTATTTATATTAAGTGAGTAAATCTGTTGATTTTAAAGCGATTAGTTGACTTTACTTATAATAAGTGAGTAAATCTGTTGCTTTTAAAGTGATTAGTTGACTATTTATATTAAGTGAGTAAATCTGTTGCTTTTAAAGCGATTAGTTGACTTTACTTATATTAAGTGAGTAAATCTGTTGCTTTTAAAGCGATTAGTTGACTTTACTTATAATAAGTGAGTAAATCTGTTGCTGTTAAAGCGATTAGTTGACTATTTATATTAAGTGAGTAAATCTGTTGATTTTAAAGCGATTAGTTGACTTTACTTATAATAAGTGAGTAAATCTGTTGCTTTTAAAGTGATTAGTTGACTATTTATATTAAGTGAGTAAATCTGTTGCTTTTAAAGCGATTAGTTGACTTTACTTATATTAAGTGAGTAAATCTGTTGATTTTAAAGCGATTAGTTGACTTTACTTATAATAAGTGAGTAAACCTGCTGCTTTTAAAGCGATTACTTGACTTATAATAAGTGAGTAAATCTGTTGCTTTTAAAGCGATTACTTGACTTTACTTATAATAAGTGAGTAAACCTGCTGCTTTTAAAGCGATTAGTTGACTTTACTTATAATAAGTGAGTAAATCTGTTGCTTTTAAAGCGATTAGTTGACTTTATTTATATTAAGTGAGTAAATCTGTTGATTTTAAAGCGATTAGTTGACTTTACTTATAATAAGTGAGTAAATCTGTTGCTTTTAAAGTGATTAGTTGACTTTATTTATAATAAGTGAGTAAACCTGCTGCTTTTAAAGCGATTAGTTGACTTTATTTATATTAAGTGAGTAAACCTGTTGATTTTAAAGCGATTAGTTGACTTTACTTATAATAAGTGAGTAAATCTGTTGCTTTTAAAGCGATTAGTTCACTTTATTTATAATAAGTGAGTAAATCTGTTGATTTTAAAGCGATTAGTTGACTTTACTTATAATAAGTGAGTAAATCTGTTGCTTTTAAAGTGATTAGTTGACTTTATTTATAATAAGTGAGTAAACCTGTTGATTTTAAAGCGATTAGTTGACTTTATTTATAATAAGCGAGTAAATCTGTTGATCTTAAAGCGATTAGTTGACTTTACTCATAATAAGTGAGTAAATCTGCTGCTTTTTAAAGCGATTTTGTTTATTTTAAATGAGTAAACCCAATGATTTTGAACCTATTAGTTGACTTTAAAATCAACAGGTTCACTCACTTTTTAAAGTAAAGTGATTAGTTGACGTATAGTAAGTTAGTAAATCTATTGCTTTTAAAGCAATTCATTTACTTTAGGCAAGTAAACCCATTGATTTTAAAACTATTAGTTGACTTTAAAAAGTGAGTAAACCTGTTGATTGAAAAGTGATTAATTGACTTCTTTAAAGAGTCCATACTTGTTGATTTTAAAGCCATTAGTTGAGTTTTAACGTGACTAAACCCTGTTAAGTTAAAATCA